TTGTACTGGCTGCCTGATGAGGCCCCAGGGATCTCCAGGAATAGGGGTTCCAGGTGTCTCTTTTTAAAAGATATACTGGCAAGCCTTCCTGGCCCCTCACTGGCAAGGCAATCCAGATTCCTTCACCTCTGCCTCCAGGGGAATACGTACATTTATGTAAGTTAATCTTTATAATTAGGCAGATGCCAGGTGTCCCCAAAAGACTGCTCTTGTGACCCGGACTCTCCTGACACGCCTGTTCCAGGTGCCTGGCTACCCTGACCAACTCGTCCCATGGATGGGTAATACTTCAAAAGCTGTCCAAAGTATGGTCCCCCAAGTCTGTGGATCTATAGCCCACTCCCAACCACCTACATAGCCTCAAGGGTGGAGGGAGCCACCCCCCCCAAATTATTCTGAAGCAGCCACCTCAATGGGCCATAGACAGTCCCCATGTAAACTTACTGTCTGCTATTGTCTCAGGCTTTAGCAGCCATCAAGTTTCCCAGATGTCTCTTATTGGAAGATACGCAGGCCAGCCTTCCTGATCCAGCCCCGGAAAGGCAGTTCAGATGACTCCAGTTCTGCCTTCAGTGAAAATATGCTCATTTGTGTAGGTTAGGGTTTGAAATTAGGCAGATGCCTTGTAACCCAAAGGTCCGCCTCCTGTGACCCACTGGCATTGCCAAGTGCAGGGACAGCTGGCTAATCTTGACTTGCAAAGCCTGTGCGTGCATACTTCATACCCATCGGAGGGCTTCCGACTATAGAGAGATCTCTAGGTCTATGGAACTCTTCCTGGAATCCAACCACCTCAATGGCCTCAGAGTGGAAGGAGCTTACCCTTCGAAAACTTTTGAGGTGGCAGCTTTAACGTGGTGACAGTCTGTCCCCACTGGCTGCATGATGGGATGTCAGCCATCTCCAGCAATTAAGACTCCTCGTGTCTCTTATTAGAGGAGACATCCCTCCCAGCCCTGCCCAGGCAAGGCAGTCCAGATTCCTCCAGCCCTGTCTCCAGGGAGAATATGCTTGTTTCTGTGGGTTAAGCCTAGGTATTAGATGCCAGGATACCCCCATAGCCCCCTGCTGTGACCTGGCCCTACCCACTTCAGGTCCCTGGACACTGACCTTTGCAGCCTGCATGTGCGTGCGTAGTCCAAATGCTGTCAGCCAGTCCCAGTCCTTGTCTGTCAGGGCCTTGTGGAGCTCAAACAGGTCCCCAAACCCCTCCTAGCCTCCAACGTAGAGAGAGCCTACTACCTGAAAATCTTTCTGAGGCTTTCAGCTTAAACTGATGATAGTCCCTATTTGGTCTAACTACTGATTAGGGCCTCAGGCTTCTCCATTAATGAATGTTCCCAGGTGTCTGTGCTGGAGGGAACTCCGGCCATCTGACCCAAGCTTGCCCAAGCAAGATTCCTCCAACCCTGCCTTCAGTGGGAAGGGAAGTGAAAACTGACATACACCAGGCCCCTCCAAGAGCACCTTCCTGCGACCTGGCCTTGCCCAACTCACCCTGTTCCAGGTCCCTTGTTACCCTAACCTGTGAAGCCCGCATCAGCACCCTATTAGCCACCCTTAGCTGTTGGGGCCCTCATGGCTGTGGAACTTAAGCTGGTCCCCAAATACCTGTAGCCTACAAGATAGAGCTCACTCACCCCCTAAAAATACTTGAGGCTCTATCTTAAACTGTCAGCCCCTTCTTGGTCTGGCTGCCTAATGGGATCCTGGGATTCCCCAGTAATCAAGGCTCCCAGGTGTGTCTTATGAGAGAGCCCCTGGCCATCCCAGCCAGCCTGCCCTGATAAAGCATTCCAGCTTTCTCTAGACCTGCCTTCAGGGAAAATACCAGCCTTTGAATAGGTTAAGGCCTGGAATTAGGCAAATGCCAGGTACTTCCAGTGGTCTGCTCTTGTGACCTGGCTTCACAGGACCCTTGCTCTGTACAAATCCCTGGCTACCCTGATCTGACCGGCGCTTGCATACCAAGTACACACACTCCATTTGCGGCTGGGGCCCTCGAGACCGGTAGAGTTAGGGTCCTTGCTCAACAATCTAGCCTCAAGGGTGGAGAGAGCCAACCGCCCCAAAATCGCTCTGAGACGTCCGGTGAACTGGGCAACAATTAGCCCCCATGTAAGACCTAATGCCTGCTGAGGTCCTGGGCTTCTTGCAGCCCAGGGGAAAAAAGAGAGAGCGTGGGAAACAAAGAAACAGACTCTTCACTATAGAGAACAAACTGAAGGTTACCAGAGCGGAGGTGGTGGGGAGGATGGTTGAAATAGGTTGACGGGGGCCAAGGAGTGCACTTGTTGTGATGAGCACCACGTGTTGTATGGAAGTGTTGAATCGTTATATAGTACACCTGAAACTAATATCACGTTGCATGTGAACTGGAATTTAAACAAAAAATATTTTGAAATCCTTACAGAAAAAAAAAATCATCTCTTGAAAAAGATTATTGCCTTTCTTAGTGTCTTTGCTCTTGTAACCAGCTTGGGTTGCTCATAAATATGGACTATGATCAATATTAAAAAGTAGCACAGGTGTTCCACAGTTAATTGTATAAATATAATCAACACTCACCAAAATCTTAGAAATTGACATCGTGAATCTATTAATACTAACTGTGCTATGAACAAAATTAAGAGTGAGCCCTTTAGTAATTTGATTACTTTTTAATGTATGTGATTCCAAAGAAAAAAAGCATTAAATAGCCAATCCTTTTACATGTGAAAGTAAGATTTTCCAAAGGAAATTGTTTTAGGAGATTGAATGCATTTTTTTTATATTATCACAGTTGTTTTAAATTCAGTTAATGTAAAATTAAATGTCCAAAGGAAATATTTAAAATATTATTATGATTTATATAAAGCTTTTGGTTTGGAATAATTTTAGATTTATGGAAAAGCCACAAAGATGATGAAGATAAAGTCTTTGTTAATTCGAAAGTAAATGAAGGAATTATGATTAGATTTACTACATAAACATCAAAAAAACAACTTTTGTGGGGCGCCTGGGTGGCGCAGTCGGTTAAGCGTCCGACCTTCAGCCAGGTCACGATCTCGCGGTCCGTGAGTTCAAGCCCCGCGTCGGGCTCTGGGCTGATGGCTCAGAGCCTGGAGCCTGTTTCCGATTCTGTGTCTCCCTCTCTCTCTGCCCCTCCCCCGTTCATGCTCTGTCTCTCTCTGTCCCAAAAATAAATAAACGTTGAAAAAAAAAAAAAAAACCTTTTGTAAAATAAGTGTATTTGCAACAAATTTTTAGTTTCTCTGTGGTGGTTAGATGAGACTTAAATGTATTAAGTAGGAAATACATGGCTGTCATTTACATAGGTTTTTAAAGTAGGTTATGATTACACAGTGATTCATGTGTTAATTCTTAAAAGTTAAGAATGCAACTAGATTTGATGCAATGCAAAGTTACAAGATATCACCTTAAAATGTTTTTATCTTAATTATGTATATATTTTTATTTTAAAGTTGTATTTTGGAGAAATTTAAAATGTTCAGTCAACTGATTTTAACTAAGTATTGTTTGAAATGAACATAAAAATCATAGTTTAAATTTTTTTTAATTTTTTTTTTAACATTTATTTTTGAGAGACAGAGAGAGACAGAGCGTGAGCTGGGGAGGAGCAGAGAGAGAGGGAGACACAGAATCTGAAGCAGGCTCCAGGCTGTGAGCTGTCAGCACAGAGCCTGATGCCGAGCTCGAACTCACAGAGCAGACTGCGAGATCATGACCTAAGCCAAAGTTAGATGTTTAACCGACTGAGCCACCCAGGCAGCCCTAAAAATCATAGTTTAGACTCTTATTGTTGAATGTTTCCAAAGCCGCCTATTACAACAAAATCATGAAAATGTTTTTCGATCTGAAGATCATCACCCAAGAGGTCTTTATGGTTCTCAAAGTGTATTGTCTTACTTTCTACATATCTTTATTTTAAAATAGCATATCTTATGGTTCAAAGGTAATATATGTTAAAGATAGAAAAATTGGAGAATAAATCTTCTAAATTGGAGAATTTAGAGATAATCTGAATTTAATTATAGTTATTATAAATAGTTATACTTCCTGCCAACCTTTGTTCTATAAACATTTATTCAGTGTTCAAAGCATAGTGTGCGTGTGTGTGTGCGTGCATCTATACTTGTTATTGGACTTTTAAAATCTCTGTTAATGTCATGTTATAATAGTTATGTACCTAATTAGATTCAAATTCCTCTTTATGATTTGTTTGAATTATTACATTTGCTAGAGAGACATCTTGTAGGAGACATGCATTTCATCATTTTTTGGCATATATATCCATTTATCGATAAGCAAAAGTAAATGATAACTACTTACATCTTATTACTAACATAGATATGATATAGGCTTCTATAGGTTTGTGAAGTAATATTATTTTGAAGATGGGTGCATTTTTCCCCATTGCCTCTGAAATGGAGAACCTCAGGCATTCTCAAGAGTTGTGGAGAAATCTTTGAGAAAGTTAGGAGAAAGATGGATAGAAGCAGGCACTGAAGTGATCTCATCTAACTTCTTGCCACATATATTTCATGAATAGGACACAGCATTTTGGTTCACCAAATTATAATGTAGTGCTTTTAAGAAATGATTCACTTGACTCTCAGATTATAGCAACCACATATTATTTAACACAAATTCTGATTTATGAATAAAAATTGGTTAAGCAATAGTTGAAACAATAACTGAGAAGAACTGGATTCATAATGAAAAATTCAGAATAAATGTACATATTTTAATTTTAGGACTGCATTTTAGCCATTGTTTTTTAAATTTTTTTTTTCAACGTTTATTTATTTTTGGGACAGAGAGAGACAGAGCATGAACAGGGGAGGGGCAGAGAGAGAGAGGGAGACACAGAATCGGAAACAGGCTCCAGGCTCTGAGCCATCAGCCCAGAGCCCGACGCGGGGCTCGAACTCACGGACCGCGAGATCGTGACCTGGCTGAAGTCGGACGCTTAACCGACCGCGCCACCCAGGCGCCCCTTAGCCATTGTTTTTTACACAAGTGGGATATTCCAGTTTCCCTTCCTGACAGGTTATTCGAAATGTGTGATGTGGTGTCTTTTTATGATATCCACTTTTACATACAAATTCAATAATATCTCCTGTTTTAGAATAAAATTTTTTTTCATGTCTCCATCGTAACTGTATGTTATGTTTATCCATGACTTCTTCTGATATCACACATGCATCTGAAAGTATAAAAAAATGAACATAAAACATTAATTAGCATACAAATATTTTCCACAGAATCTCAGACTTTCAAGTAGAATATTCTACATTCATCTAGGGCTTCATTCTCAAACCTTTCCAAGCCAACTCACTGAAAATCCATCATGTAGATTTAAATCATTTTAAACAATTCAGGATATAAAAATGAGGTGCTGTGTTTAATGTGTAATAATTAAATATTATAATCTAAGATACAAAATGTCAGCACAGGAAGAGCTTTGATTAAAGATCTTTTGTTGCTCTTATTGCTTGAACAAGAATTTTTCCAACTTTATTTTCTCACATGTTAATATTTGGTAGTCAGTCATTCAACGGAACGGTTGCTTGTTAATCCATGAAAATTCTACAAATTCTACAAATACTTCATATTCATTACCCAGGATCTATGAGGATATTAAAATATTTACCCAAGCACTTTGGTGGTTCTGACCACTGTCCATGACTACATATTATATTCTTGTTTCCCTGAAGTTCATAGAAGGACTGGCATTGGTACTCAACTAATGATCCTGGAGCATACGTTGATAATGGGAATGAGGTAATGTCTCCATTGTCGATAGGTGGAGGAGGCCCACATTTTCTTTTAGGGTCTAAAAAAACGTTGTTTGATTTATTGAAAGACCAAAGGAAAACACAGGTTAAAATAAAGCAATAAAAATATAGTTCAGTATGTAATATCAACACTTGTGATTTCTGATGACATAAATGATTCATTAAAGCAATTTTAATCACTTAAAATGACGGTTCCACTTTTAAGCCCTTCCTTTCACCCCACATGAAAGCATGCATAAAACATTAACAAATATGTCTCCTTTGCATTATTTCAGTATTAAAAAATGCTTTTTTTAGAGAATGTATGCTAAAAACTAGGTAACTTAGATGAAGAAATGTCCTTTTTTAAAAATATATACAACATATTGTAATGTCTATTGGATCTCTAGTCATTTTTTATTGATTTTTTCCATTTTATTACAAAATAAATATCTATCCCTTTGATAAAATTCAAAGAATTACAAATTTGTATAATGTGAAAGGGAACTGCTGGCTTCCTAGTCTGGACATGATGAGGGAAAAACATTTCTGTGTATTCCTTCTGCTAAGTATGACTAAAAATCCTGAACATATTGTAAAAACCAACATAAGACATTGCCTAGGCCTAGCAAGACAGAGACATTTCTTACAATACCTGAATTATTTCCGAGAAACACCACAGAAGAAACCTAAAACCACCCCTTTCTCCATCTTGATCAGCGAAGGCCAAGTAAGGAGCCTAGACTTCTACCCACACTCCTAGGGAATAGGATACCCCTCCCCCTTCCCATGGTGTCAGTGGAAGCCAAGTGGGAAGCCTGAACTTGTACCCTGCATGATGGTAGAGAGGACCTAATAAATAAAATATTTCAATAAAATGCAGAATTTTGAAACATAATACCCCAAATGTCCAGAATACAATTGAAAATCATTCGTCAAAGCAAGGACCAGGAGAATCTCAAAAGAGAAAAGAAAATCAACAGAAAACCATACTGATATGACACAGATATTGGAATTGACAATGGTTTTTAAAAATTCAATAAAGCAATAAAAATATAGAGGAATTACAGAACTAAAAATATAACAGAATTCTTTTTTAAACTCACTGGATGGAGGCGCCTGAGTGGCTCCATCGGTTAAGCGTCTGACTTTGGCTCATATCATGACCTCACGGTTCTCGTGAGCTCCAGTCTTACATCTGGCTCTGTGCTGACAGCTCAGAGCCTGGAGCTTGCTTTGGATCTTGTGTCTCCCTCTCTCTCTTCCCCTCCCCCACTCACATTCTGTCTCTCTATCTCTCTATCTCTCCCTCTTTCTCTCTCCCTCTCTCTCAAAAATAAACAATAAACATTAAAATATTTTTTCAATCCAAGCTGTGGTCACCTCCATTTTATTTTGCACCTCATTTATAGCATTTTTTAGCTCCTCCTGACTGTTTCTTAGTCCCTTGATCTCTGTAGCAATAGATTCTCTGCTGTCCTCTATACTTTTTTCAAGCCCAGTGACTAATTTTATGACTATTATTTTAAATTCATTTTCTGTTATATTGCTTAAATCGTTTTTGATCTGTTCGTTAGCTGTCGCTACTTCCTGGAGTTTCTGAGAAACTTAACAGAAGTCCATGGGGGAGGGGAAGAAAAAAAAAAGGTTAGAGAGGGAGAGAGCCAAAGCATAAGAGACTCTTAAAAACTGAGAACAAACTGAGAGTTGATGGGGGGTGGGAAGGAGGGGAGGGTGGGTGATGGATATTGAGGAGGGCACCTTTTGGGATGAGCACTGGGTGTTGTATGGAAGCCAATTTGACAATAAATTTCATATTTAAAAAAAAATAAAAAAAATCCAAACTCAAAAAAAAATATTTTTTAAAATAAAATAAAAAGTAAAAAATAAACTCACTGGATGGGCTCAGTAATAGATTGCAGATGCAAGAAGGATAAATAAACTTGAATATACAGCAATACAAATTATTCATTTTGGAAGTAGACTGAAAAGAAGCAAACAAAAAAAAAATGGACAGAGCTTCAGGGACCTACGGGAAGATAGCAAAGAGTAGATACTGAGAAAAAGAAAGAGGAAGGGATTGGAGATGAAAAAATATTTCAAAAAATAATGGCTGAAAATTTCCCAAATTGGTCATAAGTCATAAACATATATACCAACAAAGTCGAGAAGTCTCCAAATACGTTGAACCCAAAGAAATTTATGCCAAGATACATCATAATCAAACTGCTGAAAACTATTAAGAAAAGGGGAAAAAAATACCAAAAGCAGCTAGATAGAAATTATGCAAACCTTTGGGAGAGAAAGGACTCAAATATCAGTGGGGTACTCATCTGTGACCATGGACCCAGGAAGAACTGTCAACCCCAAATTCTATACCCAGTGATACTATTCTGTAGGATTTAAGGGAGAAATGAAGACATTCTGAGATAAAGGAAAACAGAGAATTTGTCTTCAGCAGACTTGTCCTTGGAAGACTTTGAAATGAAGGGAAGAAGAATTAAGAATTAAGAATTCTTTGGAATTAAAATTTTGGAATGAAGGGAAAACAATGGAATTAGTAAAAATAGGGGAAATATAACAGACTATCTTTCTCCTAATTAGTTGGTTAAACTATGTTTGGTGTTTGTACAAAATTACATCATTTGATATTATTTGATATTTGAGCAAAACTATATCACATGATGATGTATGCACTGGAAATTCTTAAGAACTTTAATGTGGGGAGAGTAAGTGGACCTATATGGAAGCAAGGTTTCTACATTTCACTTGATGTGATAAGATGTCAATACCAGGCAGAATGATAAGCTATATATGTGCATCTTAATATCTACAGCAACACTCATAAAACTATACAAAGAGATATGCTCAAAAACAATATAGATATATCAAAATAAAATGAATTAAAATGTTCCAAAAAATCCACAGGGAAGTCAAGAAAACAGGAATTAGAGACACAGGAAACACACACAAAACAAACAAGAAAATGGCTTACATGGTGCCCCATCGATCAATAATGACTTTAAATATAAATGGTTTAAATACTTCAGTTAAAAGACTGAAAATGGTAAAGTGGACATATAAACAAGACCCAACTGTATGGCATCTAAAAGAAACTCACTTCAAACATGGTAACATAGGTGGGCTCAAAGTAAAAGACTGGAAAATATATGTGGCAGGCAAAGGTTGATTTGAAAAACTACAAGTGGCTAATATAATATCTCCTTAGTTGGCTCCCTTTATTTCCTGAACTCTAAATATTAGTGTGTCCTATGACCAAGTTCTCAGACTTCTTTTTAGGTATACAGTAATTCCCTGGATAAGCTCAGCTAGTAATCTATCTTGAAATATAATCCACATGTTGAAGAAGCCCAAATTTATATCACATTCTATGATCACACACCAGCTGCCTATTTCATGTCTCAAAGTGGAATTTCTTGGGCTGTCAAATGTACTTAAAGTATCTTTAATACACTTATTCCTCAGGAAATAACTCTCTTAATACTTATGATAGGAGAATTTTCCATGATTCCAACTGTTCTTTTAATCTGGACATTTTATAAAACAAATATACTATATTACTTAGTTCAGTCTGAAAAAAAAACTGGATTTTAAGTACCATCATTTTATTTGTATTTTAAAGATATTCCATAAGAACTACTACACTACATATTTATAGCAACATATTTTATCTTTAATATGTTCTCTAAACTTTGGAGATGAAATAATAAATAATAAATATGGAATGATATAATCTTCTCTTTGAGTTTAGTAAAATAAATATTATAAATTGTATAAACCTTAAGTGAATTTATAAACCACAAGAAAATTATTTTAAAAAGATTATTTGACATCAGAGTTTGGTTTATAGTCATCCTGTTTTTGAATTGTAATTTTGGCCCTTAGTAAAATAGATACAAGTAGTCAATTCCTTAAAGACTAAATCAAGAATTTATTTACTTTAATTAAGACTTGGACATATTTCATTTGAGGCAACATGTATGGACCTAAAGGGTATTGCGCTATGTGAAATAAATCAGACTAAGAAAGACAATTACAATACTATTACACTCATAACCAGAATCTAAAAAAAAAAAAAAAAAAAAAAAAAAAAAAAAAAAAAAAAAAAAAAAAAAAAAAAAAAGATTAACAAACAAAAAGCAGAATCAGAACTATAAACAAAGAGGACAAACTGATGGTTGCCAGAGGGAAGAGGAGTGGGAGGTTGGGTAAAAAGAATGAAGGAGAGAGGGAAATACACACATGCCTCCAGTTATGGAATAAGTAAGTCACAGGAATAAAAGGCAAAGCATAAGGAATACAGTCAATGACACTGTGAAAATAATGTAATGTGACAGATGATAGCTATACTTGTGAACATAGCACAATGTATAATCTTGTTAAATCACTTAGTTGTACTCTTAAAACTAATGTAACATTGTGTGTCAAGTATACATACATACATATATATAAAGTAGACTTTCTGTAGAAACTGACAAGGTGATGTTAAAACTCAAAGAAAATGAAAAAAAAAACTCAGAGAAAATGGAAAACAGCTAGAAAAGCAAAAACAGTTTTAAAAATTAATGTTAGTTTTCTACTGCTGCTACAAAAGAAACCCATATATTCAGAGGATTAAACAATACTAACTTATTGGGCACCACTGGGGAGGCCATTATTCTGCCTTCCACAATTAAGAACAAATTGGAGGACTCGCACCACAGTAATCAAGGAAGGGCATAAAGATATGAGAATAAATATAAATATTAGTGCAAAAGACTAAAAGTACAGAAATTGACACAAACACACTTCTCCTATATTCAGTGGACTTTGACAAATATGACAAGATATTCAGTGAGTAAAATGATACCACTCCCAGCAAAGTGGGTAAAACAACTGAAAATCTGTATGAGAAAAAAAGAAAAAAAGATGAACCCTATTCCATACACAAAATACCTGGAAATCAATCACAGACATGAATGTAAAAGTACATATGTAAACTTTCTGTAAAAAAAATATGATAAATCTTTGCAACTTTGAAGTTGGAAAAAATGTCCTA